CTCTTCGAAATGACGGATGTCGAACAATCGTCTCATCAAAAGTATGAAATTTTTATAGTTGCTACCTATTCTATATTCTTTAACCTTTCACAGAGACTACATAATATGTGAATTCAAAATAGCACTGCTTAGCACCTTCTTTCAGTTAAGTGTGAGTTTTCTTCTCGAAGAAAACATATTTAGTTTTGTATGATAAAAGACACATACAAATTATATCGAATTATCGAAATTGAACTCCTTCTCATTTACAGATCACAATGTCAACTTTTTCACACGACTCAAAAAATAAATAAGCCTTGATTTGTACGTGCATTTTGTGAAGCTTGACACTCTTTATCCATGATACACAAATGAATAGCTTCTACAGGTTCGATATTGGAGAAACTGATTCAGAAATATATGCTCTTGATTTTTTTTACAGAAGCAACCAGTTAGCCTGTTGAAACAAACATACTATAAGATAGACCGAAAAATACATTTTTAAAAACTTTTCACTTTCTCAAATCTAATTAGAGAACATAGCCTAAACAAAATAGGAAAATTTCTCTGGTGATGTACGTATTAGTTTCAAGTGGTACTGTAAATCAATAATATTTGGGTTGCGCTGACAGTATTATCATAATCGCATTGACTACATTACATCTATCGGTCTGTTTTGAAATATTTTCAAAGTAAGAAAAAAGCTAATTTGCATTTTTGATTGATAGTGCGCGGAAAGAAATTAATTACTATAGCATAATCAAAACGATATATTCACAGGATAGACTTTTTTCGTGAAAACAGGATTCTTTTTACATGTATAGATAATTAGATTGTGATTCAAACCCCAACCAATCTATTCTTTTGATCATAGTCCAGTAGATGAAGCATCATTGAATTTTTTTTTCACGAAAAAATTATTTTAAAGAGTCATGTCTGTGGTAAAAGGAGCAGCAGTCCCATACTTAGTGTTAAAACACGTAATATCTATCAAAATACTAGAAAAAATGAACAGCTCTTCTTTTCTGAATTTTCTTTACAAAATCTCCGTCATTTTTTTTATGAAGCGTGATTCTTAATGCGTGTTGAAGTGCAGTGGTGCTAAAGTATTATTTATACATCTCATGTAAAATTCAAGTAAATTAAGTGAACAGAAACCATTTTGTCTTCTCATAATTCTATGGTAATAATAGACTTTCAAAATACATTATGAGATTTTATAGTTTCATTAAAGTTAATACTATTCACCTAACAAAAAAGAGTCTAATAACCTGTACAGTAGAAGAATCTTGGAATGAAGAGTCTGTCGTAGGTTTTAGTGGTACTCACGGAAAGATTGATCTAACAGAGATGATTGAAGGAAATTGCTGAAGAGGAACACCCTAAACTAAATAAAATTGGTGTCAATGTTTTTATCGATCGAAGAGATTGACTTTAATTTTCTGTTCCACCTAAGATATGTCCGATAGATTCTACGCCATTTGAAAAACTTTTCGTGGTTAAAAGTACGAGAGGGATATCCCAATACTCAACAAAACTAATCTATAAAGACACCTCTGATAATATGAATAAGGCAAATCAGATTTGCTAAGGTCATATTTATGCAAATTATTTTATTCATTTCTTCTAGATTATCCAATACTGACTTAAGCGATCGTAAAATGATCTTTCTATGCTTGGTTTCTAGATTTCATTCTTTTGATGAAGAAAATCAAGCATAAATATCATTATGAATTGTATCAAAAGTTTAACCAGTCGATTTCATCTGTTTCATGAACCGATAACAATTACTTTCAATAGCAATAGCGAATTAGTGACATATTACAATAAAGAACAATGTACTTTTATAAATAGAAAGCAAATGACAATATCTTTTTTATTTATTGATTGAAAATAATATTTAGAACATACTTTAGGCTAAACTTTTGACAAAAACTTCAAAGATCATGATCAAAATTATATTCAACTATTCAAAACAGTCCATTACTGAAAATGAAAATTTGATAAGACAATTAACACATCATACTCCATCTTTTGATAAAGATTCTACTTCTGATGTTGTTCTAAGTCCAGTCGAATTAGGAAAAGTACTCCGTCTCACAACAGAATGACGAACCTATATCCATTATTTGATCCAAACTAATGTTGAAAATAAATTAGGACTCCATATTTATTAGCAATCGACGAACTACCGTCTCGATAAGTTTGTCTTCGATGAATTATTTTCATGTTGTCAAAGGCATGATTGTCGATGGTAACAAATTTGAACAAGTATGTGACTTGCATGTGCTCACATTTGTGATGCTTTTCAATGTATAATTTAGATGGTATAGGTCTGCATCGCTTATCACTCACGCGCACCCATTGGATATTGTGATTTAGCTGTGGTTATCAGAAACCTACTGTGTTGTGTGTGGGTCTTTGATGTACTCTGAAGCCTTTCTGCTTATCAAATAGTCATAGTTAAGAGGCAAAAACCTAGAAAACAGCAGGCAAAGTGATTAGAGTCTTTAAACGCGGTTTCAGAAATTCTTGGTTATCTGAGTAGAATTACTCATAGACGACTCAAAATTAAGAGATCGAGAGAATGTTCATTATTGAAGGAAACGACGATGAAATAATCGCACTTCCATGGTAGTCGAGTTCGTTAACTCAGGATTCGAATCATGAAACAAAATTTACAGAGCTAGTAGTTAATAATGACCTATGTATCGATTAGAAAAAGTCACATTTGGATTTGCCCAAATGCTGTCTAGAAGAAATGATGTTCATTATGCTTCACCGAACGCGATTTTTATGTGCAGCCTTTTGCTTGACCATTAATTTCATTTCTATATAGTGATGTTCTCGCATATGAGGCTACATCATATCTCGCTATATCTATCGAGTCAAAGGCGAAAACATTTTGATTGTTGTGGCACTGCATGATGATGCATGATACTGAGGATATTGATCGTGATTTTCATAACTAAAAATTTCATCACACTTGACTTCGACAGAATAAAAGACTATGATTACTCATATAGACTTGAAAGTCAAAGATAGTGAACATATGACAACTATCGAGGTATGACACTAGACTAACCATATTGAAACTTTGTACTGCTCCGCTCCCTTTTAAAGAAACTGATTCGTCTCTTGCAAAATATCCTATATCTCCATACAAAAATAGAAAGTATATTTAAAGTAGCTAATGCTTGCGTGTTCATACTGCTTCGACCTCAACAGTTTCGTAAATTTTTTCATGATAATAAAGCTACTGTCAACGATATCTCATAATGTTAAATTCGAATTTTTTAATGCTAGCCAGTGAGTTGAGAAAATTTAAAATGAAAATACTCTTCTTTAAGTTAAAAAAGCATGTTTAGCATTTGAATTTGTAGAGTATCAACTAATGTTGACTTGCTAGGAGGCGTCAAAATGGCAAAGGAGCAGTGAAAATAAATGAAGAAATGAGATCATATTGCGATAGATTAAAAAACAAACAATGCCATGATGAATCTCTTTTATACGTTTGATCAACGTGGTAAAAGGAAAGATAATAGCTAAGTGCTGAAGCCTAAAGCAACTTTACATATTTATGTGCTACTGTGATTGTAAGTGTACAAGTATTATAGTTACACTATTGATAATAATAGACGTTTTCCTGGATAATCAGTTAGGATAATGACATATGAATTCATTGACGAAAAGGAAAAGTATAGGACATATGCAGTATTCTTTTTTGAATGTCGTTTTCATAGCAGTTTGATTGATCGCTTTTGAATCTTGTTTAATCGATAAAACTCATCATTATTTCCTTAAAACCCACACTGAACACCTTGACTATCTTTTCTCAATTGTCGATCTTTTGACGCATCAGTATTTACTTTTGTATTATTAGGGTTTCTGAATTAGGTAACGTCGTAATCTAACTACGGCATTCACAAGCGGCAGAACGATACTCCTAATTTGTAATATTCTTTTTCAAAAAAAAGCTTTCATCAAGGATCTGAGAATGATAGTCTCTTCGAGGCAAGAAATCTCGGAGTTCCATAAACTCGATTATTTTATTATCAGTCTATCCTCACAGAGTAATTAGAAAAAGGTTGATAATAATTGACAATTTCAGAGATTCTATGAAAACTGATTCGGTTTTGATTCTTCCACGACTTCTCAAAAAAAAGACAACTCTGACATATATTCATCACTCGTCGCCTTGTTTAGTGACAAACCAGCAACTCATCTTCACTAATCACATTTTCTTAGGAACGAAAGACTCGACATTGTCTTTGTGCATACTTCTTCTTGAGAGTGAGGAGCGAATGAATGACTATGATTTGTCATTAAACGATCAATCACATTTTTCTCCCTCTAGGTTTAATTGAAGACCTTCTGAAAATTCCTCCTATCATCATAGTCTACATATGAGTGAAAAGTCAACTCTCAATGTCGTTCACTGGTTCTATCGCTACATCATGAGTTTCCTTTTTTAATTTTAACGTCGAGAAGTATGAAGTGAGTCGATATTAGGAGAGAGAGAAGTGCGAATGACACGTCGTGATCGGTAACAACAACAATGATCTCTTACAGTTGTCTGGCCCTACTCAGGTGTCTAGCTGATCATTGTAGGTGACAATGTTGGAGGAGAACAAATGAAACTTTAATAGGATTTGTATCCGTGATCTACAGGTCATGAATTCATGTGAAACTACAGTTTACGAATGATATGACAGAGAGAGAGAGAACAATAATGTTTAATTGTATATGCTCCAATTTATCGTATTTTTTAGATAATACCGATAGTTTTTCCAGCATCGTTATCAATTGGTACTGTTCAATACTGAATAAATTTTTCTCTCGATTTCAATTTAAACTTATTCAAGTATCTTGATCAAAAAACCTTGTCATTGATATGATTCTCATTTTAGACACGTAAAACTCACATACATCCAACTTGAACAAAGAGTTGAATAAATATGGCGATGGCGCAACAATCGAACTTTATTTCACCACTACTGACTGATCTCTATCAAATTTCGATGGCGTATGCTTATTGGAAAAGTGGCAAACACCAAGGTGAATCTACGTTTGACCTCTTTTTTCGCAAGAATCGTAAGTGAATCAAATGTGTTCTTTTTTTTGTATGAAATTTAAAAGTCCTTATCAAACATGTATATTTGTAGCATTTGGTGGTGAATTTACATTGTTTGGTGGCCTCGAAGAGTGTTTAAAATTCGTACAAAATTACAAATTTCAAACATCCGACATTGATTATCTTCGCAAAGCGTTACCCGAATATATCGAAAAGGAATTTTATGATTTTCTATCGACAATCGACATGAATGATATTAAAATTTATGCAATGCCTGAAGGTGAAACTAGATGTTCATATAATTTTTTTATATGCTCTTAATTTGTCATTTAGGCACTGTGGTTTTTCCTCGCGTGCCGTTACTTCGTATCGAAGGACCTATTCTAAAAGTGCAACTGCTCGAAACAACTCTACTGACACTAATCAATTACGCTAGTCTAGTAGCAACGAATGCCGCTCGATTTCGTGCGGCAGTAGATTCGAGTAAAAAGTTTCACGAATTCGGTCTACGACGCGCACAAGGTCCAAATGGAGGTCTTAGCGCCTCAAAATATTGTTATTTAGGTGGCTTTGATGGTACGTCCAATGTACTAGCTGGTAAACTTTATGGAATTCCTATTCAAGGTAAATATCTGTGATCATTAGTTCGTTGACCTTTGACTTTTGAAATTAGGAACACATGCACATGCTTATGTTAGTTCATATGAAAGTCTTGATGAATTGAAAGTTCGAGAATTATCTGATCGAATCACTGGTGAATCACGTCCATTTGCACAATTATGCTTGAAATATCTCGATGAACTTGGTCCTATACTCAAAATATTTCCTGATCAAACTAGCAAAGGTGAATTAGCTGCATTTGTTGCCTATGCTATCTCGTTTCCTTCTGGCTTTTTGGCTTTGGTCGATACGTACGATGTTCTCAAGTCTGGTGTTCCGAATTTTTTGGCTGTTACTCTTGCATTACACGATTGTAATTATCAAGCACTTGGTCTTCGTTTGGACTCTGGCGACTTGGCCTATTTATCGATGGAAGTACGAGCAAATTTTATTGAAGTCGCTCAAAAATTCAATCTACCTTACATCGAACATTTAACTATTGTGGCAAGTAATGATATCAATGAGGATACATTGCATTCATTGGGAAAACAAGAACATGCAATTGACGTATTCGGTATTGGAACACATTTAGTTACATGTCAAAAACAACCAGCACTTGGTTGTGTCTATAAATTAGTTGAAGTAAGTGTCTTTCAATGGAGAAAAAAAACTTATAAGAATTAAAAACTATTCATTATTCTCAATATAGTTGAATGGAACACCACGCATCAAAGTAAGTCAAGACATCGAAAAAGTAACGATTCCTGGTCGAAAAAATCTTTATCGATTCTACGATAGTCATGGTTTAGCTCTATGTGACTTGATGACTACAGCTGATGAACCAGAACCAATAGCCGGAACTCGAATGCTCTGTCGACATCCATTTTTTGAGACGAAACGTGCCTATGTTACACCAACAACGGTACAATGTATGTATAGATTATATTGGGCCGATGGTCAAATTCAACATGCACTTCCAACATGGCAAGAAGTTCGTAGTTATGCCCAACAACAAATCGAAACATTGCGTAAAGATCATCGACGCAATCTGAATCCGACACCGTACAAAGTCTCTATTACCGATCGTCTCTATAAGTTTTTACATAAACTCTGGGTGCAGAGCGTACCAATTGGTGAACTTGCCTAATAACAAAATCAAAGAATAAACAAGAACTCAAGAGTTGAACTGGGTTGAATTGATCAATTTTTGTTGGTGTTTGTGTATTTTAGTTTATTTTCTATTTGTATTTCGTCTGTTACGCTTAGAATGTATTCTAGCTCTCTATTTTATGTCTGCATATTCCTTTCTTTTTTCCCCATATTGTCATTTCGTTGTTTGTGTCACGCACCAGCAAAATGCATAGAACGAATAGCAAGCAAGTTTTCTAGTAATAAGTGATTCTTTTTTTATTTCTAATCCAAAAATTTATGATTGTTTTATTGAAACTTCGACTAGATTATGGCGAACATCAATTAGCTACAAAATAATCTGTTAATCACATCAAAACTATATCAAAATTATATAGAGTTTTTCTTTTCAACTTCTTTTATTGTATGATGATGAAATTTAGGAGTCATCTCCAATCATCGTAGATCAAATCTTATATCAAACAATCAATAATATCAGTGTGACAATTGTAAGCAGTATAGAAGTAGACTGGATGCTCTATTTTCACTGAGTCATTTTTGTAGTTTTCGATTACACGAAATTGAATATTAACTAATAATTGGCATTCACTAATGCCTTCGTTGTAATAATCATTTAATAGAATTGTTAAAGTCAACCTGTCGATAATGCTATCATAGTTGACATCTTGGGTAATCAAACGATATTGATTGGATAGGCAAAACCAGCAACTCTAATCGTATTACTAGTATAGCCATCATCACTGGTTCTAAATTCGATCAAAATTAAAAAAAGAGCACTTTTCCAATCTAATGAATTCTTGATATCAAGTCCAACGAATTCAATTTCATGAAAATCGAGAGCCAGAAAAATATTTGCATAATAAATCGTACCCTTCGATAAGCGACCATCAACATCATTTCAATATGTTGAAAAATATATGCAACTGATTTATGCTGTTCAAGCAATGTCATTTTTCGTCGTCCAGACTCAGTAACAATCTATATATTTAATCCCTACACTTTTAAGTGATTCTGATAACAATAATGGAATGTCATGAATTGACTTTTTTATCGAGGATGAGTAGTTTGATAAAATGCTCGCTAGAATTTAATCAATTAAAAAGAATGCATATTGATTATTCCACTGCTGCTCCGAGATCTTCTTGTCTTTATGATAGCTATAGAAGCTGGATCCAATTTGACTGTAGTTGTTAGTTTTCTCTTTAACCACACCAACCTTGCATTGATTTTTTCGAACTCATATACATCTATGGTTCATACATTCAGTTTATATATATTCTCATTTGCAACATTTCTACATGATCGGTCTGAATTTTATCCGCAAGCATGATCTTCATTTCGGAGGCCACTACAGTCAAACCTCTCTTTCCGAATGAGTCACAAGAAGTTAATTTATTTGCATACCAATCGCCATCTCTCAACCACAGTGCCACCATCCTGCCAAATTCTTCAAACTCATCCTCCTATTGTTTATGAGTCAACGGCTCACATAGGTTTCCTCCTTATCATTCTATAGTTATTCCTGTTTCAACCCATGAAACCATTGTCTCTATTCTCTGAAAATCAAACTGTTTTCGTCTCCTCAGTTAACGATATTTATCTTGTAGTAAATGACCTTGTTTCACCCAGAAAAAAACTTTTTATCGAAATTGCACACTTTTCTCGTTGTCCCGTGAATATTTATTCTCAACAAGAATTTGGCGTAATAGAGCTACTGAATGAACATCAGCTGAATAGTTTATCAGAGCTGACTCATACATCTCATCACATTCATGAGGAAAAAAGACATTTTCCCGATTTATCACATTCTCATTTAACTGACGTGCAGAAAACTCAACTTGTTACACTCATCTTACCAAATATGTAATTGAACTTCAACAGGATATGAAACTGTCTGGCACCCAACTATAAAGTATTCCTCCTCCAATGAAGTTTTAGTAGATCAACAAATAGAGAAGAGCTTCAGTATGGTTCAATTACTCGTTCACGTAGCTTATGGACAGTTCCAATTGTCTTATCGCCTAAAAAAGATGGTTCACTTTCATTTTGTGTTGATTATCGGAAGTTAAATGATAGTGCGATTCGCAAAGTCTAGCATATACCTCCGAGTTGATAATATCCTTAACTCAATACGTGAAGCTAAATATATCTCGACTCTTGAGCTCGGGTCAGGCCACTGGCAGATTAAAATCGACCCTAATGGTTGAAGTAAAACAGCTTTTATCATTCATCAAGGCCTCTGCGAATTTTCGGTGATGTCCTTCGAACTTTCTAATGCTCCTGCCACATATCAACGATTGATGGATAGTGTTCTAGGCGCAATAAAGTGGCAGTTGTGTCTTGTTTACATGGATGGTATGCTTGTGTTCTCTTCTATTTTCGAACAACATCTCCAAGATTTATTTTCTGTCTTTGATCGTCTCGCAGCTTCTGGACTCACTCTTAAAGCTTCAAAATGCAATTTTTGTCCGAAAGAGCTACAATACCTAGGACATATCATCATTACAACTACCAAAACACCACCGTACAACAATCTGATCCACTTCTAACATTCGTCAACTACGTCGATTGACCAACACAATACCAGACAACTGTTTCCTCACCGAGCCATGACCTCTTACTATCTATTTTCAATACTAAAATGATAAGATCGAATCTATTGTTCACAGGAAACAAACATTATTTAAACCCTTTCTTTTTATTATCCGCTTTCCTCTCTCCTCTAATCTATGTACTTGTTTCAATCACTAATGCTAGCACTCATCTTCGAGCATGTCCATTTGTTTCCCTCTTCTGTGTTTTTTTTTCTTTTTCATTCGTTGCTATACTTATCAAATTTTGATATGCTTTCTCGTCGTAAATATTTAATCGAGTATATTGTAACTCACTTTTTCTCTTTTTGTTTATCTAGAATTACGCATTGTTATTAAGTTTCTGCTTATTCTCGTACTCCGAGTTGTCTTGTTTTTTCTCCGATTGTTTTGCATTATTTTTATTGTTGTTTTTCTGCACTTTATATCTTCATCCTTTCAGTTACGTGATCTACATGTGCTCGTCCAGGTGTACTTACATCATGGCGAAGGTTTGTGTGACAGATTATATCCGTCACTACTCTTCATGGCTGTATTTCAAGTGCACATGCGAATCACATATGCATGATCTATCAATTGTCTTTCTCTCATATACATATATATATTCATCCGTATCTTTTCTTTTCTTATGTCATGTTCGCCTTATTGTTGTTCGTTTTACATGCATTCGTATTCATTCTAAAAATAAATGAGGAACTAGCGAGTCATTCCTGCACAATATCATCAATAGTTAGATGATATCATTTCTTTCTTAGAAAGAAAAAGCACAAGCGGCGCTGTTTTTCTGTGTCATAAAGTGCACAATTAAAGCAAATGATAACTGAACAGCAAGAGATACAGAATGACACTAAAAATCATTGTATAACAAATACGGCAATACATCAACAATCTATTTTACGATTAAGTAATATAGCTAATATGCCAGACTTTGGATGCAACCATCATCCAAACTTCTATTTATTAAATCTTTATCCATCAGCAAGATACAAACATGTTTATTATTAAATCAATCTATTCATGTTTTATCGCTTTGGTTGCAGTAAATTTAGACTGAATAATCATAATAATGACTGCTTTATGCTGTACATTCAGGAAACCATATAATTTTTCTATATGACTCTTGTTCAATGTGTTTTTCAACACTGTGATCTCACTGAATGAAATTTCTTCGTTATCTAAGAAGTGCCTGTGGGTATGCATGTATTTGAGTGGTGCGTTATTGCAATCGTGTGTGGACTTCAGTTAGGATGTCGGTGTACTCAATGGTGTGTACGTGTGGCAATGGTTGGATTAGCGTCTGGATGTGGGTTGAAGTCTGTGGACGTGAATGTAGTCGTTACTGGTGGAATAGATGAAAAAAGGCAGCAGAGGATACTCATACGGACATCGGCATCAAGAAGCCAAGCCAGTTCAGCAGTCACACTCGTCTTTGTAAATACATGGGATATTAGTGTCGATAATGATTATGAAATAGTGTATCTTACAGAAAAAGTTAAACTTTCGGTCGAAGATCGAGCAAGCCAGATCAATGAATGTTTATAGTGGATTCAGGTATGCAATTAAATATGCAGTCCTTTGCGGAATGATGGATCTTTGCTAACCCTCGATAATTAGATTTTTGAACGACGTCTACGAACTCACACCATACACGACTACATGTTGCTCTGCATTCTCTATTTGAAATAAACTTTCTTGTAGGAAAATGAAATGTGCCATTGATTATATTCATTCATAGTATGCTTCTCACCTTGAATGCTTAACTTTTAATAAGTACGGTCATTCTCCAAAAAAGTCCGCAGTTGAAAGATACTCACATAAAATAAAAATATGAAAGATAAGATAAGTAAAGTCTTTCCATCGTCTAACCAAAGTAACATATGAATCATCTTATAAAAAAGAAACAAACGGTCTCACATATAAATATAAACTAAAGACGACAACAACATACCATTTAAAGTTTTACAACTGTTTTGGCTACCCTTATTTGACTGTGGTAAGTAATGTATTAGGATAATTGAAGTAGCAAATGAAAGTAATTTAAAAGCCCTATACATAATGGAAATATGATCGAATTATTCGCTGGGATGAAGACAACAATGGAATTAATAAGTAGCGTTCATTGAGACTCATTTCGCTTAGTTCGAGACTGACAGAATAGATAGATGCATACAGTCAAATCTAGATATAAACGTAATTGAAATAAGGTACCAGATAAATGCAACATGTGAATTGACATATAATAGCCATTCGTTTCACATAACGAGTTTTTTCGTAATATAATGCGAGAGTTTTATGTTTACAAAGAAAAAAATTTCGAATATTCTATACTGCTAACTAAGTTTAATTTATATGAGCAATATTTCTAGTTTTTTAACAAAAATTATATGGAGTTTTTCGATATTTTCAC